ACATAATACTATTCAATACAGGTTTCAAGACATTTAGAGTTTTGGTAGTATTGCCCACAAGAGATTATCTTTTCGGTATTGACTACAACAGCTTCTTTGGGCCAGAAAATGGTTGGATATCCCAATAGATCCAAAGTAAATTCCAAAAAGCTATAAAAACAAGAGTAGAAACCACATGGAACTTAGCAGACTCTCAACTCACTGAGCAGCTCCTGGCCAACATGGCAAGCTCAGGAAGTCTGTGGGTTCTATCCCATGGGCGGAACCTTTTTTTTTTTTTTTTTTTTTTTTTTTTGGTTTTTGCGAGACAGGGTTTCTCTGTATTGTTTTGGAGGCTATCAGTCCAGCTCGGCCTCAAACTCACAGAGATCCGCCTGCCTCTGCCTCCTGAGTGCTGGGATTAAAGGCATGTGCCACTACCGCCCAGCCCATGGGCTGTATCTTGAATGGCTTTAAATACTCCTTCATCTGCAGCTGTTGCTAATAACTCAACTGAGAATTTTAAGGGTCCACTAAAGGATCATTATATTTGTTACTTAGTACTATGTCTTTTCTTCCAATTTTATTTTCTCTCTGTTTTCTGTCTCTTATTCCATTACATAAAGAGAGAGCCTTGCCATATGTGTAGTTTGCTTCAATTTCACTCTTTATCCCCTTATAGAAAGTTGTTTTAAGTGGACTATACCAACAGAATGAGAGTTGCTAACTAGATCAAACAACTAATTTTGAAAAATCTGAAGCCATGACACTTGTTTACACTGGCTTTTAAAAATTAGTTTCTAGGAACACTATAGCACTATGACACTTAATTCAAATGCCAGTCAGACCTAGTAAGCAAATAACTCTCCAAGTTTTACCTCGCACTACTCCTTAGTCTTTACCCCAAGAATGACCAATCTGAGGTGTATTTCTATAATGGATGAGCCTTCTGTCTGAGTATTCCATTACCTCATTCATTTTAAAGTCAATTTAGAACTGTGGACAGTGCCAAATTTACAGCCCTGAGTCCAGACTCCTTTTTTAGTCTAGAGAGGAGTCATTGCATAAGTTGTCATGTTGCAAGCCTTCTGAGCCAACTCCACTCCATCACGTTCATTTTTCCTGATGGGCATAAAGGTTCCAGACATGTAAGCTATACAGTAATGTTATTCCCATCAAAGATCAGCATGTAGAGCTGAAATCTATACTTTCCATCGCCATTGTACATGCTCATATCATTGACAGAATCATTTCACTTGGAGAAGGAAATCAGGTTCTGTTGTCACCAAGATTTAAGCCACTTAAATTTCTGTCCTCTCTGTGATAAGAAATTAGTCATCAGGAAATGCATAAAACTGTTTTAGAGGAGATCCTATGAAATGTGGATAGTAAAGGTTCTGGGAATAACATATTAGGTCATCTTCTCTAAGAAGAAAGGATGCTATGGTTGTTTGGGGGGGGGTCAGCCTATTTGTGTGCGTATCTCATGTATAATTAGTGTTCTCTGAGGGGTTGCTATTTCACAGTATCACTGCTATATGAGGCTGGTTACATCATTGTAGCAAATGTCCAGTGCATGAGGGAGCTGAGAGTTTCAATCTGAGAAATCTCTGGTTTACTCATGCATTCCCTGCTTTGTAATCTTATGTTTTTCATCTAGCATTCTCTGCTTGAAATATGCAAATCCTCTGCAGGGCCAATGTAAGTCTTTCAAACATCAGAAGGGTGAGCCTAGAGCCATGGTAAATGGGGCAAAAGCCAACAAGAGCTAAAAGGGGCTTCTTGGTAAGAAAGGTACATCAACAGGAAGAGAAACAAGGTCCGGGGCCCTGAGATTTGAGAGAGTAGTGAAATAAACATTTTAAGGAGGTTTTTTATTATTTTTTTAAGGTATGAGGGATATCTAGGCGTATTGTTTATGTGAAGAAAAATACCTCAAGTAAATATCCATGTGCTTCAAAGCATGGGATCAGGATAACAGAATAATCCCTCAGTCCTCTTTTTCCTATAAAGTAGCTTTCAACTTTCTTGGGCTGACTCAAATATCATCATTCTCTTAGAAACTCCCTGACTCTCCAAATGACTCATTCTCTCCTTTGAGCTCTCTCAAGGCTTGCTCAAATTGCCTAATAAGGAACTTATCATTTTAATATATTTAGGTATAGATTTATCTTCTTGAGATGAAGCCAGGTGTGATATTTGATTTATCCTTATAACCCTAAAACCTAAGCAATTCATAAGGTGGATACATAATTTAGATGAGATGAATTGAGTTCAAATATGGCTTGCATCTTCTGTGAGATCAAATTATGCCTGTAAGACATCCCAGAGATTAAATGAATCACTTCATTAACTCCATAGCCACCATAAAATTGTTGTAGTGCACTTTGGGTTAGATACAAGATTTTTATATACATTAGATAAAAGAAAATAAAACAAAAATACTGGAATTCCCAGGAGCACAAGGAAGGAACACAAAGGTAAGCTTCAGATACAAGACAAATTTTCTCTTTGTACTGACTGAAGGAAAATATAGAAGTATATTGGAGGAAAAGAAATATTTCTGCTGAACTGCCTACTGTGGAAGCATATTAAATATCTGTTATCATTATGGTACCTGTAACTCCTTATACAGCAATGAATAGTTATTTATTTTAGAATAATATTGACTGTGGGACATTTGAATAATTTTAGTTCAAGGTTTAAGTCTGTCTGATTTCCAAAGCTTTCCTGGGAGTGATGCCCTATCATCTTAGAAAAGAAGTACTTATTCATAAACTGTATCTTCATTCTTTAGTCATTAGGAAAAATGGGTCATAGATCATGTCATGTTGTCTGTAACCTAGTTATAATTCTGGCCCGAATAGAAGTTTCAAAATCATGATTTCTTATAGAAACCTATAAAATCTCATTAGCTTCTGATAATTATATTAATACTGAAAGCTTTGAAATACAGAGCTAATTTCAGCAGAAGATCATCTGTGAAAGTGTTCTGGGGAGGTTTTCTCTCTCAGCTTCCTGAGAACAAAAGGGAAGGCAGCGTAGGGCTCTACTGTGACACCCTATTTCGGGGGTAGAAGTTCAGGGAAGCATCGCATCGTGAATGAGCGGATTCACAAGTGGGAAACAGGGGTATTAGAGCAACATCTCTAAATGTAACTCAGACTGGAGAAGACTCTCCACTTGTGATCGATTTGCATCTCTGCCTGTGTCTGAATTCATATTCCACTAGCACAGATGGAGGTGTGATGGATTTTTTTTTGAGCACATCTATTTATTCAGATACCGGATTCAGTCTCTGAGTAGGGAGATGGTAAAGGCTGCTGTGAGCAGATGGCACATAGGCACTGTGACTTTAGAAACAACATTCTTTAAAGATAAGTGGCACAGTAATAATAATAATACTTAGCACATATATTGCACCTTTGGTCTGCCAACATTAACTAATTAATCTTCAGTAGACCCCTGTGAGATAAGTAAGTGCTTATAATCATCTCTATTATGCAGTCAAGTCAACTAAGAATGTGTCGGCACATACTGTGGAAGAATTGGCCCGAGTTAAAGACCGGGTGGATCCAATTTACATGGCTCTTTAAGATTTCTGCTCTAGTAGGAGAGACTAGTATTTCTAGACACCCTGCTGTTTGAGGCACCAAGTAGATTGGAAGCAAGATATCATCCCCCAGACATATTTCATTCAGAAGGTTTCTGCTACAGAATTCTAAAATTGGCAGCAGGACAGTTGAGTCATTTTTCTAAAGCCCCAGAGGCCGTGGTTGGTCAGAAGGAGGGGTGGAGTTATAAGGCCCTTGACTGCACTTCCATTTGAAAAAGGCAATTTGAATGCCCACATCTTATAGGGGAATATTCTTTAAATTAGTGAACAAAATAAGGATCTCAGGGAAGTTTAAGATTTCCATTGCCATTTGCCATGCCTGAGAACTCTTCTCTGTAGGCTGTTTGAGTCTGAACTATGGCCTCAGCCTGAGAGGTTAATATTCCCCTGAAACACTGAAAGGCTGCTGAGTTAAACAAGAATAACAAAGAATTTGCATATATTATGAAGTTTTGGTATTTACATGCAAAGATGTTCACCTTACAGATCAGAAGCTTGGTATTTTTGAACAGTGTCATGATATCAAGAGACCTTAACCTGAACTTGGAAAGATATAAGAAAAACAAAACCCTTTATAAATGGGTATATTAGTAAACCACCCTTGACTTATCTTGAGAAACCAATGAAAAAAATATATTTGAATGTCTTGGTATTTGAATTGTGATAAACAAGCAATATTTTAACCCTCACCCTGACTCTCAGCAGTGTGATTTGGAGGCAAGACATAATTTTCAGGCTTACTTTGCTCATCTACAGAATGGGTCCATTTTCACAAACCATATATAACTCAAAAGACCCAAGTAACCCCATTTCCTCTCAATTGTGCAGCAATTAAAACTGTTGACAAGTATCACATAACAATGGCTCACTGAAGGGAGGAAAGAGCCTTGGCCAATGAGATCATAACCAAAACAGATGACCACTAGGACTTACCTAAGCTTGATATATTTAATCGTTATCCTTCATAGATTAACAGGTCTTAAAAATTGAAGTACTTTTGACAATAGGTATCAGACTTTCTCTCACAGAATGACTCTTAAAAGCCATGGCAGACTTTATGAAAGTCCAAAATATCTTAATTAGCTTCATTTCATCCATAGTAATTCATCATCCATTACTGTTTTTGTGTAGTGTTTAAAATTTTATTTTTGTTTCTAATGTCAAATTTAGATGAAATTAACCATAATATAAAGTAACAAAAGGGACTAGTCATGTAAAAGATCAGTATTGATGGCAGACACTGATGTGTTTTTACTGCAATACTCTAATTTATTCATTTATATTTCTCATTATACATGAGTAATACTAGGTGTAAAATCTAAAAAAAACCCATAACATTAAAAATTAGGAAAACTATAGATATCAGTTTAATTTTATTCCTGAAGCTATTATAAAATAGCTTCTGTTGACATTGACAATGATACAAAAAAGAATGCTAATTTCATTGCATAATGTTGGAAACACCACAGTAATGAAAGCAGAGCTGAAATGTTTTTAAGATTTGTTCTGTCTATACCATGTCTAGTTTTATATTTTCCTATATTAAAATTTGAATTTTTTAAAAATTTGAAACCACACACACACAGAGACCACACACACACCCCTATAGAGAGTTTTTTTGAGACTATCTTCTTTCTTAATTAAAAGTCTAACAATAGAGGACATAGGGGATTGGAACTCATGTCAGCTGTATAACAGTCAGAGGTCAAGTTCGCTGTTAAAGTGGCTGATTGAATGTAAAACTTCCTTGTTTGCTGAGTATTGAAAATAGACCTAAGTAAAAGACAAATAATAAAAAAGCACTATATGATGTTAGTGTGCATTTTGACTCCAACTCTTAAATCACAGAGGAAATTTGGGAAAGACTGTGATTGTAAAGTAAAGGAGAAAGGGGGAGGGGTCAATAAGAACATTATTCTCATCAGCATTAGTGAAATTGTCAACACATCATTTCTGTTCCTATAGTGATGGAAAGAGGACTGGAGAACTATCAATATTGACCCAACTCAAGAAGAAAATTCAGTTTTTCCTTATTCTTTTTCATATCCATTGTCTCCATCAGTTCTAGGAGATATCTTTTTAGAGTATTTGTTCTCAGAACCATGAAGCAGTACAGGTGGTGCTTCCTCAGCAGGAATCTGTCTTCTTGCTCAGGGACCGCCAATTATTTGTAGCGAAGCTAAAACAGAGGAATAAATATTACATGTTGATGGATGCTTGTCAGGAAAGAGGCTGGGGTGCTTTCAGTGGGGCTTGTCAGACACAAAAACCTTCAGCAAATCTGCATTTTCAATGGCAAAATGGCTAGAGCTCTCCAGCTGCTTCACTGGTGAACCTCAAGATTTATCTCATAAATTTAAATTATAGATGACATAGCACTGGAATGGAAATAGATGACACCTTTAAAAATAAATCTAGTGCAACATTTGGGGAAAGGGATCACACATTTAAAAGGGAAAAAGAGAACATTCCAATGTGCCAAAAGGGCCTTTATTTGTTGTCCTATTTACTATTCTCTGTCTAAAGTTAGCATCTCTCTTACTTTTTCCTCTTTAGTCTCCTGTATCAGACACACTGTGGAGGATCTATGGAAGTTTTGTGAAACTCAAGGAGTAAGCTGGGTTGCAACTATAACAAAAAGCTTGCCAAGCTTTAGAGCCAAACTGGCAAGGTTTTCTGTTGTGTCAGCATTTGAGTATTATTGCAATGTTATTGCATCACTGAAGAAAGAGCATGGAAACAGCAGACAGAAACATGAAGAGCATTTGAAGGAAAGTATACCTAGCTTCGGTAGAGATGTTGGCTATAGTGGGCAAGGCTTAACTTTAGTAGTTTAAACTTTAATTCAATTATGACATGTTTTTCTTTTTAAACTTATTCCAGGAGATCTTGATTTCAGCAATTTTCCTAATCAGATATTGGTAAAAAATTAGTAAGGAATTTAAGTTTCAAAATTTTCTTTATCAATTATAGATTTGCTTGAATTATAAGGAAATTTCCACTGGGCAGAGCATGAAGAAGTTTGGAGAAATGTAAAAGGATTAAATTAAGATTATTTTACAACTGTATATATTTATCATATGCTGATGTAAAAGCCAATGAAGATTTGTAACATGTGTTTTCAGAAGCTATGGTAGAAGTTATCATGGAAGCAAAAGACTGCCTAAATCAAATCTGTGAATTGAGAAAAACAAGCAAATGAAAACCACAGTCAGAAACAAAATAAGTTAAAGCAAAGTCTCATAACCTATCACTGATGTAAAAATGGGAGATGGAAGGAATACCAATATTTTGATCACCCTCCATAAGACATTGGAGTGTTGTACCAACTAAAAAAATAATAACAGCAAACAGTAAGCACTAAGAAGACATAAGGCACAGAGACAAAACCAAGACCCTCCAGAAGAATGTTTCTCCCTGCATTATGGACTTGGTCTCTCCAGTTCATGCCAACAGAGGATACGATGTGCTCAGTGGGCAATAGACTGGTGAGGTGAGTTTTCTTAACTTGCTCTCTAATTTTCTGTGATTACAAAGAGTCAAATATATTCTTACCCAAGCGTCAGTTTTGCTTTTCAAGTAAAAATCCACATAAAGAGTTCAGAAAAACCAAATACCTAAAACAATGTGCTTGATGAGGCCAAAATCAAGGTGTCCAAGTGACTCATTCCCTGGGTTTATCAACTTTGTTAATGAGGCATATGTACTGAGAATTACACAAGGTTAAATATAAGGAATATTTCTTGTAAAACATGTTCCATCATTCCTCAAAGTCAATACATAAAAGCCCAGTACCTACATAAAACATCCCCCTCAAGGGCACATTTTCAAATAAAATTATTGAGATTCTAGTCAAGAATGTTTATCAGCATCTTTTGTAAGACAGCACATGCTAAGTTCAAATATAGAAATGATATACAGCTCTATCACACAGTCATAATATTTCACCCAAAAATATAAAACTGTTGATTAGATTAAATAATACACCACTGGCTTGAAACATGACATATTCAATTATTTTGCAATAAAGTATCGTTGTGGGATCCCACCTGGGTCCTGTTGCTGCTTTAGTCCCCAAATAACACATAGGATGTTATATTAATTATAAAGTTTTTGATCATTGGTTTGATTTCTTATTGGCTATCTCTGGCTTAATTATTGACCAATAATTACTAATATATATTTTTATAAGGACTTATCTTTCCAGGGACACAGCTTCATGTGTCCTTTCCCACAATCACATGGCAATGACTCCCCTTGACTACATTTCCCAGAATCCTCATGGACTCCTAGTCCCACCTATCTTGCTTCCCTATTGGTCAACAGTGCTTTATTTACATATACATGGAAGGACTTCCCCCAGCATATCTTCTAGTGTGTCTAAATAAAAAGAAAGGTTTTAACTTCGATATAGTCAAATTATATATAACAGAAGAGTTATCAAGTAAGAACTATATTTACAATATTTTGTCCATTGACATTTAGTAAGATTAAAGAAAATATTTTATCATCTATCCTATCTTTGTGAGTCTAAAGTCTTATATGTAGCTTATCTTTTATCATAACTAAGGAAAATTATAATTATAACTATCTCTCTTGAACTCCATCAAAAACCACAGAAGGATAATATATTAACACTAGAACTGACAGATACATCTACTACCTGGACAGTCACCCAAAGTTCCTCTGTAACTTTGGGTTATCCGTCTTTAGCCCATAGGCCACAGTGTGTCTGGAAGACTTCTCATCAAAGCAGGAAACTTTAAACTGTCCTCCTACATTGGCAATTTGTCAGTCATTTTTCTGTGTCCTGCAGATAGTCTGGCAGACACTTCCATGAAGCAGGAACCCTGTAGGACTGTCCAAGTTTAGCGGTCATTTTCCTGTGGGTCCTGCATGTCCAGTTTACACAGCAACAGTCAAACAGTCCAGGTAAGAGCAATTTCTTGCTCAAATGGCTAATCTTGTCATGTTGAAAGCAAACTCCATAATGAGTTTTTCTATGCCCATCTTCCTCTCAGACATAATTGGTGTGCCAGGAGTAGACATTTCTCATTGTCAAAAAAAAAACCTTAAACCATTTTAAATGTCATTTTTGAAGGTTTTTGAAAGGTTTGAAGACTATTTATTTATCTCAAATATATCTCTGTGTATCTAGAAAACCTAACTAACATAACTATGAATCTTGACTGTTATATAGGTAACTATCTATAATCTGTAATTAATTACTTATTATGTTTTAAAAGATCAGTATAAACACAATACTTAAGAGGAGATATATACATATCACAAAATTGACCTTAAATTTGTATCAATAAATGAAAATCTATTTTAATACAAAGTATTTATTTTTATACCATAATATCCCCTTTACCTTTAAAAAGAGATTGCGCTGGGCGGTGGTGGTGCAAGCCTTTAATCCCAGCACTCCGGAGGCAGAGGCACGGGGATCTCTGTAAGTTCGAGTCCGGGCTAGACTGACAGCCTCTAAAACAATACAGAGAAACCCTGTCTTATAAAAACCAAAAAAATAAAAAAGTGAAAAGAAATTGCTTGTGATAATTAACTATAAATAACGAGCTCCATTTAAATGAAAACAAAATTAAAAAAACAATATTTGGGAATTTGGGTGTTTATTTTAAACTGTATTTTGTTGGATGGGGGTGCTGTCCATACCAGGATGATCATGACAAAACCCAGAAACCTGGCCAAGTAATCTGTAAATCTGTATCACCTTAGCTGTTTTAGATTTTGGATCCCTTGGGACAATATTGGGACCTATGTTGATTTCCTAGCTATCAGTCTGGGATCCATGAGTTCCCCCTTGTTCAGGTCAGCTGTTTCTGTGGGTTTCTGCAGCCTGGTCTTGACCCCTTTGCTCATCATTCTTCCCTCTCTGCAACTGGATTCTAGGATTTCGGCTCAGTGTTTAATGGTGGGTGTCTGCTTCTGCTTCCATTAACTACTGGATGAAGGCGTTAAATTCTTTCTGAAGAATCTAAAGTACAAATTCTGATAGACTTCTTTTTCTACATAAAGAAGAAATAGGTATACTTGCTGGAAGTATGATGAGATTCCTTGCTTTTGCTGTTCAGCCTGAGCCTGAATGAGTTAAAGTCAAGGACTGAAAAGTGTTTTGAAAAGCATTTTGACATTTCTCTTTTTGTGTACAAGACTCACTGTTGGATGAAATGCACAATCCCTTTCTACATTTTTGAATTTATAAAGAAACTTTATTTCTCTTACATTCGGTCTAAACTGTTACATGTAGAAATTTGGAGCACTTTTGAAGAGTAAAATTTCTACCCACAGGACATGGAATTTGGCAGTCATATATCTTCCAAGAAGTATATGTCTTCCCAGAAAGCTTCACAATAGTACATTGTTCCTTACATTATCTTCTCAAAGAATCAGAGTGCCTAATAAACACCATTGCTCATCTGGATAATCGTTCAGCTACCAGAAAGTTGTTTATACTTTAGCTACAAGAAAATATTTTCTTGCATTCCCACAACTGCGACTTAATTGACTCAAGTCATTTTTTGAAATAATTGGAGTGTAATTTAATAGCCATGTTCATACACATGTAAACTTTCTACCCAATTTTTTTGTGTATTGGATATGTGGATCAGGTAAGACATATTCCCTCATGAGAACAAGAGATCTGATCCTCTCCCTTATATACCCTACAACAATTGGAAGAAACAGTCATGCAGTTTGCCTGGGCAAAACATTAGAGCTGTCCCTGGTGATGAGAGTGAAGAGGACCAGAATCTGAGAGCTGGAGAGCAGAAATGACCCAGTTCCTTGCTGTCGAATGCATTGGGTTAGTTAGTCTAGGCAATGCGAGAGAGCTCACCCAGGCAGTGATGATGAGGAAAAGCTAGAGAGCTGACCAACCTAGCCAGGCCCAGAACTGAGTAGGCTCACCTCAGCATCCACCAAATCTATGAATTGTTGGAGCTTGTGAAGGGGACAAACTTACAGATCTGAAACAGTAGGATCTCCATGACAAAAACAGGATATCCAATAGAAGCCCAAGTGAAAGCCCACTTTTGGTAGAACAGCAGAAATCAAAGGCCTTCAGCCAAGTAGAGGCAATGAACACTGACAAGTAAACATGAATGGATTAAAGGGTAAATGTGTCTCAATGGGCCATACTACAGTTTTCATGACAAA